TATTATGTTAGGAATATACACACGAGCAATATATGCCTTTAGATATTTTTCTCATTACTTGTTAGATAAATTATTTAAATACTGGAAAGATGAGTTTGGGCTATACATTTTAAATGTATTTTTTGGGTCATCTTCTATTAAAATACCTTAGGTTGATTAATATATAATATATAATAAATAAGGAACAGATTAGGGCAAACTAGCAATAACTTTTGAGCCAAACAACCAATATTTTTAAGAAATTCCAAAACTGGCCCAGTCGATAATCGCAGCTGGCCCAGTGACCTAATGTGATAATGATTTTTTCCTCTTCAAATAAATTTAGATGCTTGATTTCGTCCCAAAATCTCACTTTTGGAAACACTCTCGAATGCTAAATGTTCAAAACCTATATTTTAACACAAGACATAATTCAATTAATGTTTTAGGGTGTCTAATTCAGATTGTAGCTTACTTAATTAGGGTAAGATTTAGCCCTTTGAGAGAAGAATATTCTCTATAATGTTTTCGGTAGATCTTAAGAAATCTTAATGAATCTAGGAAAACATTGATTTTTTAAGTATTTTGGCTGCATCCGGTTAGTTTGTGTTTCGCTGTTAGGGATATGGTCCTATATTTGGTTTCTATCGAGATTCGGTTTATAACATCGCTATCTAGAAAGCCGCCTGATGTATTTGTTTGTGTCATTGTCTTACGGTAATAAAAAACCTAGGTCTTTAAGTTCGGAGAGGTAGACGTTCATCACTATAAGAAGATTCATGGTTGGATGGTTTTACACTTAAGCTTCCTCAATTTGTCTTTGTCCAAGAGTTCTTCGGAAGTTTAGAATGCTTGTAGTTGTAGGTTTTGGTGATTAGCCTGTTTCGGGTTAAAGTCGATTTTTGGTCTGTCTCTAATGCAGATTTTGTTTATTTGCAGTTTTTCGAGTTATTTGTATTTGTAGTTTCATAAGCTCCTCTATCATAGGATTTTTTTTTCTCCGGTAAGACTTGTATTATGTTAGCTATGTTTCTGGGAATTTTAATTAATTCCACCCACTTTATATCTTTCAAATCTAAATAAAATTTCTAGGTAACAAAAAAAAACATCCATAAAGAAAAACGAAAATAAAAGAGTCAAGAGTAAAACTTTACAAATTGCGAAATGATAAGAAAAGTGTCTGCTTCCCCTTTTTCTCTTAGGTATAAAGACTCTGTCTTGATCCAAGGGTCCATGATGGACCAAAATGGTACGTATTGTAAAGTCCTATACACACTTCCGTAATTAAAGTTTCCAAATACACAGAAAAATGAATTACTACATGGCCACTTTACACCATCACACCAACGTTTCTTTTTCTCAGGTGTTTCGTGTACTTGAGCTTTGATTCCATACGTTCTCATTTGAAAATTCTCAAATGCTTCATAAACTGCTTCTACATGTTATTATTGCAAACACAAAGAAAACCAATTTTGTTTTTTACCAAGTGATTGGTGGCCTAGTGGTCTTGACACTTGAAAAAAATCTTCAAAATCACTAGCTAGTTCAACTTCATTTGAGATGGGTGATTTACGCCTTAAATGTGGTATGATCAACGGTTGGCCCCGAGCACCGAGAAAATTATGGATCGAAGATCCAGGTTTATTAAGAAAATAAAAATAAACAAATAAAATTAAACGTTACTTTTGTGAATTAGGAAAATGAAATTAATGTGATGATAGTAAGAGTTAATAATAAAGGATCACAAACCAATTCTGGCTTTTTGGCGTTTACTCTCTTGATATGTTGTTGGTAACAAGTGACTAACTCATTCCGCAGGTATCACAAACTTCTCCTGGCACTCGTAATCCTGTATATCAAAGAGGTTTATCGAAATGGTTATCGGTTATTTCCAATCGCAAGAAAGTGCGAGAAAATAATAAAAAGAATTTTCTCGCAAACGGGTTTGGGTTTGCTTGCCGATTCTTCGGTCCCGTTGGTTATTACATGCTTCCTCTAGCGTCATGAGCACTTCATTGTCCTCTCATGTTTCCTATTCTTCATTAGCTTCCACAATGCTTAGCAATTGCATGATGTTTATCGATACTTCCTCGAAATTTTTCTATGGAGAATCATGAATGTGTATCGATTGTATTTTTTTCCATGTTTTTAAATTTTTTTTTTACCATGGAATCAAAATCATTATTTCAACAATTTGTAACCCTCAATTTTCATTTCATAAATGATATTTACAATTTAGCAAAAAAAAAGAATTTTGTGTCTAAAAAATAAGAAAAGAATTATATCATTATTTACTAGTATTAAAAATATTTGTATCTTTATTTATTAGTATTTTTACAATGTATTAACTCTTAAAGGAGGACTCAACTCACTATAAATTGAAAACGTGAAAGAACACTTCATGATGAAAATTGAAATTGAACTTGATCTCTCTCTAATCGATTAGTTTCTTCAAGAATATATCGATGGAGATCATAACTCCAGACGCGGAGCCCGATTCCCAATCAAATGAGAATAGGACAATTCACTTCATGTTCAAGGAATAAGCCAAAACCCAATGATAAACTACGAGGAAAACTACCAAGCAAAGTGACATGACGATTTCTTTTGGAACAAAATCTGGTGACATTGCTAATCCTATTAGCATGAAGAAGAGTCCACCTCCGAAGAAAGTAACGAGCCGATGAATATCTCCAAGAGTGAAATTCACTAAAGATACTAAACCTAGAAATTGATTCAGTGATCGAATTGAGGAAATCGCACAAGCATCGAACTGAAGAAATCGCAAAAAGAGCGAGAAATTAATGAAAAGAATTTTGTATCTTTATTATTAGTGAAAACAGAATTTTGTATCTTTATTTACTAGTACCTTTACAATGTATTAACTCGTAAAAGAGGACTCAACTCGTACACATGACCCAACTCACTAAAGATTGAAAACGCGAAAAACAAGACGAAGAAAAAACACTTTATGATGAAAATCGAAATGAGCTTGATTTCTCTCTCTAATGATTAATTTCTTCAAGAATATATCGATAGAGATCGTAACTTCAGCCACGATCTATATAAAAAGCTCAATTCCCCAGCCGGAAATGAGTAGAGGACAATCCGCTTCATATTCAAGGACTAAGTAAAAAATATAAAGAGAAACTACGAGGGTGGCTACCAAGAAAAGTGCACTTTTGGAACAAAATTTGGTGGCATTAGTAGTCTGATTACCATGAAGAAGAGTCCACCTCCCAAGAAAGAAACGAAGCCAATCAACATCTCAAAGAGTGAAATTCCCCATCAACCATTGTTAATAACACTTGAGCCAAGAAACGAGAGAGTGCCCTCCATATTGTGCCTCTGGAGAAGGTGATAATAGGGCCATCTATCATACTACGGATTCTTCGAATGTCCATTGTAGAAGAAGATGATGGCGTTTTAGAGCAAGAAGAGTTGAGAAGACGATGGTTCACAAATCACAGAGAATAACGAAAAAGAAGAAGAAGATGATGGTGTTTTAGAGCTAGAAGATGATGGTTCAATCACAACGACAAAGAAGAAGAAGAAACAGAGCATAATAATGATGAAGAAGGAAAACAAAAACAGAGTTTGGGCTTATTATCGAAATCAGAAGTAAGGCTCAATAACTCAGGCCCAAAAGCTTGTATATAATTGATAAAACAAAATTTTTTTTTGTTCTTGTTTAATAAAACTTCTTCGTTTCTTCTACAGT